TTCTTCTCTGGATTATGATATGAGCTATAAAGTTCCTAATGCAAGTGAGTCTGATCCAAAGAAAAGAAAAGGAATGGGTCCATTGGAAAAAGCATTTTAGAATGAAGCTAGGGAACAATGTGATGGTGAGGTAGGTAGAATGTTTTTCACAGGTGGTTTGTCTTTCAACCTTGCAAGGAATCCTTATTACCGCAACTCATATGTACGTGCATCACAAATTCCAGGATATGTTCCACCTGGATATAATGCATTGAGAACTACACTACTTCAAAAAGAAAGAAAGAACATTGAGATGCACTTCCAGCCTTTGAAGAACACATGAAAACAAAAGGGAGTAACTATATGTAGTGATGGTTGGTCAGATCCACAACGAAGACCAATATTTGACATGATTGCTGCAAATGAGAGTGGTCCAATGATGTTAAGGGCGATTAATTCTCAAGGTGGGACAAAAACCAGTGAGATGATCGAAGAGTTGATCATAGAGTGCATAAAGGAGGCTGGACATGAGAATGTGGTTCAGATAGTCACTGACAATGCTTCAAACTGTGTAAAATCTGGGGCACTTATTTCAGCCAAGTATCCTACTATATTTTGGACACCATGTGTAGTTCATACCTTGAACCTTGCTTTGAAGAACATATGTGCACCAGTATGGAACACAAGAAGTAATAAAGATGTATATGAAGTTTGTTATTGGATAAAGTCTATCAGTGAGGATGTGGGCTGGATCAAGAATTTTGTTATGAACCATGGAATGAGGCTTGTGATGTTCACAGAACATTGTGATTGCTTCCACAAGGTTTGTATGCTCTATGTTAAGTTACTTATAATTAACTGATGCACGTGAAACTGCTCACCACTAGTCCAACACTTGTCATAGTATAATTGGATATTTTTTTACTAAACATGAAAACATGCTACATGAACCTTGTCTAGCATTGTTGAGTGTGTGAATCAATTTTGGTCAACCTGGGATTTTTTTTTTAAATATTATTTGTGATCGATAACCCTTCTGATTACTAGGAGCTTAATAGAAGATTTAACCCAAAAATTTAGCTGGTATAAGAAAAAAAAATGATGCATTATCTGAAGATAGATCTTGCATTTGTCGTAATATTATTGGACCTGAACTTGCTCACTACTACATGAAACGTGCTACATGCACCTGGTGCAAACGTGTATTTGTTATAATATTATTGGATATTTTTTTACAAAAATTTATATGTAACTCTGCTTACCACTATTCCAGCACTTAGTTGGTCTTTGATCAATACTTAGTGTGAGACTAAAGTTTAATGATTTGATTAAGTTTGGTGTCTTTGGTAGGTCAAATATCGAGATATTTTAGTAGGGAATGTCTTAACTATTTTCAGAGTTGTGTTTAATTCATATAATCTAAATTTTATGTTAACAGGTTTGCCTCCACAGTTGCGATGTTGAAGAGATTAAAAAAAAAAAAACAGAATTGCAACAAATGGTGATCAGTCCTAGATGGGATGACTATAAAGAAGATAGCATAGAGGGCATCAGCAGTGAAAAAAAAAGAAATTAGACGAGATGTTTTGGGATGATCTTGAATATGCTTTATCTTTCACTTTGCCTATCTATAGTGTAATTAGAGCTGCTGACACTGATAGACCTTCTCTTCATCAAGCCTATGAATGGTGGAAAAGTATGATTCAAAATGTGAAAATTGCTATCTTTAAAAAAGAAAGAAAACAACTTGATGATGACTCAGTCTTTTGGAATGCTGTGCATTCTGTTTTGACATCTCGTTGGAGCAAGAGTAGCACTCCTCTTCATTGTATGGCATATTCTCTAAACCCCAAGTAAGTTTCTCAATCTATTTTAATTTACATGATTTACTAATTTACAAAATAGCTGGTAATTAAATAACTCGTTATATTAGTTTTAGATAGTAATATTTTTATTATTATTTTTGTTGGATGCAGATATTATAGTTCAAAGTGACTTGGAGAAGAGAGCAGTAAAAAAGCTCCACATCAAGATTTGGCAATTACTAGAGAAAGAAAAAGTTGCATCATTAAGTATTTTCCGAATCAAGATGAAAGAAGAGAGGTTAATGTTGAATATTCTAATTTTTCTTTGTGCTTGGAGAATTTTGGCAGTGTTGATGCGATTCATGATAGGTCTATCCTAGAACCTTTGAGATGGTAGGCAGTTCATAGATCTTCAGCACCGAAGCTTCAAGCCTTAGCTTTTAAGTTGATTGGACAGCCGTCTTTGTCCTCATGTTGCGAAAGGAATTGAAGTACTTACAAATTCATACATTCTGCAACAAGAAATAAGATTATTCCACAAAGAGCTGAAGATTTGGTATTTGTGCACACTAACCTTCGTCTTCTATCTAGAAGGAGTTCTGCTTATAAAGAAGGTCCCAATCATATGTGAGATGTTGGAGGTGACCAATTTGATTCATTGGATGACATTAATCTAGGAAGGCTTGAGTTTGAGGATTTTTCTCTTGATGGACCAGAATTGGAAGCAGTTATGTTTGATGGAGTTGATGAAAATGAGAATGACAACGATCATATCAACGTGTGATTTTAAATTTTATTTTTATCATTAGTTTAATTACAATATTTCTATTATGTATTGGATTTTTGTATTTTAAAGTTTAAAATATTTGTTTATATTATTTTGTGTTAGGTGTTTCATGATATATATATATATATATATATGCTTCTAACACGTACCCGCTTCCCAATTTTTTTGAAAAATCCGCTTCCGCTTCCGCGATTCTGCTTCTGATTCCATGTAGCTTAGGGCGCAATAGGACCCAAATCCAAGTCATTACGATGAAGAATACAAACCATGATATAATGACATGTTTAAAGTTGTAGTGAATACTTAGATTATGATGTTTTATGTTTTTAAATGAATTTTGTGTTTTGAGAATGATGTTTTGGCATTCTATTTGGAAAATATTCATGTTTCTTTTTTATATATAATTTGATAAATATAATAACAATGTATGTGAGAAATACTATAATGAATTAAAGATTATTATATCAAACTGTTACTCGGTTTGGATGAGAATTTATTATAATTTTTTCTTAGTTTAGGAAGGTGCAATAGTTTTTAGAGGCACAAAATCCAAGTCATTACGACGAATAATGCAAACATGAAAATTATGAAATCGTTGAAGAGTGTAGTGAATGGATGATTGCATTGTCCTTTACCATGATGAAAGTTTGATGTATACTAATTACAATCACATGGTTATATGAACATGTTTTTGTTAATGGAATTTTTACATTATTATTATTTTTGTTTGAGAAATACCAAGTAACAAAGCTTTAATTCATATGGATGTTTGTGTTTCAGGAGGATGATCAATCAATGATAGTTATATCCAAACATGTTCTGTTTAGATGAGAGATTATTATCATTTCAGATTAAATCATGTAGGCGCAATAGGGTTTGGTGGTGCAAACCTAAATTATGATCATGAATAACAAGGATATGACACTTTGACAACATTGAAAGTTGTATTAAATTGATGATTATAATCTTTTGTATTTTTAAGTAAGTGCTATTGAAAATAAACTTAACTAATATAGCAATGTTGAGTTTCATGAGCACTATGATGAATCAAAAATTGTTATATCAAAATATTTTCTTTGTATAGATGAAAGAATATTATAAATCTTGTTTAGATTAAGGAGGCATAATAGTTTTTGGTGGTGGAAATCCATATATTTACACAAGAAAATGAACATAGATATCATAGAGAATGTAATGAATAGATGAATACAATATCTTATGTCGTTGTTGGCGGAAACGAAATATACTAATTATGATCACATGGTTACATAAATATGTTAAACATGTCACAATTTTTTTGGCGACTAACTATTTCTTAAATTAGTTAGGCATGTATTTATTTGAACAACCTCAATCAATCCAGTCATTTTAAGCCCATTCCAAGTACTTGAGTAAGAATACATCTCATTTATATTAATTTAAGTTTTATTTCTAACAACCATTTTTTTCATAACTTAATCAACATTCTCAATAAATCGTTATTTCCCAAAAAGCTTATTAGAAAGAAAAAAATCTAAATCGTTCTCATCCTGAGATAACCAATAGAATTCATGCTACCTTTTTAATTACTTAAATTTCAATTGAAATTTAAGTAATTACTTTAAGTTTTTTCCTAACAAAATATGGAGTTATCAAAAATAAATTATAAAATTAAAATTAATTAGAGTTTTTTTTCAACTTTTGTATTAAATATTTATTTTGTAAGATTATTAAATTATTATTATTCCGGATGGAGTTAAAAAATATTTTCTGTTTGGATGAGAAATTATTATCAATCTATATTAGATCACCACTCATAATTCTTTTTTTGCCCCCATAACTAAACTATTTGGAAAACATAGATTTTTTCCTCCAGTAAAAAAATGTGTTACCTCCGCCACTGCATTAAATTAAGTTTTATTTCTAACTATTATGTTTTCTTTTGTTTTATATTTTAATCACCCTTCTGGATAAAATCTTAGTTCCAAAGAAGGTTATAAGAAAAAAAAATCCAAATCATTCTCATCCTGACATTGCCAATAGAATTCATGCTTTCGTTTTTAATTCATTAAAGTTTCAATAAATAAAACATTTCAGTGCAAATCTAAATAATTTCATTAAATTTTCTTGAGGAAATATGTAGTTATAAAAAATAAAATAGAAAAAATAAAATTAATTTTTATAACTGTTTGAATCAAATATATTTTTGGGAGGATTAGTTTTATAATGTCAATCGAATTAGCATTTATCCCCTTAATGTTTTCGAAATTAAATATTGTCCCTTTAATGTTTAATTTAAATTTAATTCAGTTCTACCCTTTAATTTTTGAATTAATAAATTAATTAGATTGTTATAATGTGTTATAATAAAAAAAACAAGTAGAAAACAGATTCTAGTAAGCCCATCGACACCAACTTTCTTTCCCCGAGCTAATAGTCTTCGCCTCCTCCTCCTCCGCCTGGTCGCGTTCTTCACTATTTCTTTCATTATTCTCATTCAAATTCGATTCTAGGGTTTACAAATTCTCAATTGATTTAGGGATTTTGTTGATTTACTACTACCTTGCATGATTCTAATTTCTATTCTAGTCGCATGTTTGATTGTAATTTCAATTCTAGCTGCATGCATTATTCAGGGTTTTCCAATTTTGATTATAGGTTTGCTAATTACGATTATGAGTTTTATAATTTTGATTCTAGGGTTTTCGAATACCCATGTCATTTTTTTTTGTTCTATTGTAAGCGCATTCAATGGCATTTATATTCCAAAGGCTTTTCCGGCGTGATAATCACATGTGCCTGTCCTTATCTGCCGTGATACCACTATATTCGTTTTTTTGTCGTTTCCGTCGCATTTGTCATTGTAAGCAACTTCTTTCATCATCAATTTCAAAATTGAACATCTTTGTGTGTTTTTTTTTCTTGATGTTCTTATTGGCTGGTGTCTAGTCTGGATTTCATTAAACTATTTCTATTTGTATGATTTTTTAAAGGATTTTCTCCAATTCCATATGACTCATAGTCTATTTTCTTCTTAATCATGATTTTAATTTGAAAATGCTTCTGAATATGCAATTGTCAAGAATGTAGCTTGAGTTATAGACTTTAAGCCCCATGTTTCATAAGTCTTATGAACTGGGTATAATATATTGTTGTTGTTTGGTCAAAGATTCTCATATGTTTCTTTACAACTGAATGAACAGATTTTAAAAGACAATGAGTTAAATTTTGTCATCAGTGAGTTATCATCAACTGATTGAACAGATTCTCAAATGTTTCTTTACAAAGTTGTCATCACTGTGAGTTAATTCTGTAACTAGACAATGTATCTAGCTATCTGTTTGTAATAGAATTTTACTTTCTTGTTCATAATTTTGGTCTGGGTTAAATTTTCTTGTTTGATCTGGGTTATGTTTTTAAATCAAATCTGATCTCCAGGTACACTCGGTGTTGAGTTCGCTACCAAGACACTCTAAGTCAAAGCAAAAGTCCTACTGCTGGTCAAGAGAGATGTGATTACCTTTGTTTTTTTTCTTTTAATTTTTAATTTTCCTGATTAGTTTAATTCATTAAGGAAACGGTTTTGAAATTCGTTTTGAAAAGGTTTTGAGGAAAAGGTTTTTTTTTTGGTTCTACAGTATAATAGGATTCATTTATGTTGTTGGTGAAAATCTATTATCTACCTACTTTTCAGCTCCATCTCGATACTCCTTTTTCTTTGTTTGATCGTATTAATTTCATAAGTGAACTTTAGTTTTTGCATGATTGTTTTTGGATTCTTTATTGCCTTAATTCGTTTAAAATCATGCTACTCAAACCCACTAATTGGCTGTTTAAACAAATGAATTCCCATTTATTTTTGTTGATTGACAGGTGCTTTACTGGCTTTCTAGCCTCACGTGCACAGACGAGAATTACATCATCAAATCCAAGGCTCAACGTGCTGCTTCTACCTAATTCTTAGGTGAAATTCATGTTTTTTCTGGGTTTCTATGGAATCTTTGCTTTTAATGGGTTTATATGGAATCTTTGCTTTTGATATGATTACTCTGTTTGTTATTTTAGTAGAAAATTTTCTTATTTTGTTAATTGTCCTTTTAAGACTTGTGTAAGAATGGAGTATCACAGTTTCGTCAGAGATGTTGTTTGACTAAATACGTTTATCTGGAAAAAAAATCAGAGATTTACTTGCACACATAACTCTTGCTTAAGAAGTTTGACATTTTGCATTCTGTTGCATCAATGTTAGGCTCTAGTATGTCTCCTTAAGAGGTCTGAATAATTCTTGATAAGATTACTAAAATCAAGATAATATACTGTTTTTAGGAGTATAATTTGTCAGTGATGAAGTTGTTTTTTAGCATTTGATCACAATAGCTTGTTGATTTCACCATGTGTATTAAGCAATTGTCTTTTGTTTTTCCTTCTGGTTTTTTGCAGAGCTCTTTCTTATGTAGTTGAAATTTTATGGTACCTAGCTTTAATAGCATCTTAGTCCCGTGTGTGTCTTTTAGGACAGCTGAATCATTCTTTTTCAAGATTGCTACATTGAGATCGTACATTTAGCTGAATCTGTCTACTAGATTTAGATTGCCGGTGTTCCTAGATGCTGTAAGTAGAACGGCATTACCAGAGTTAAATTTTCAGATATTAAGCATATAGAAAACACGTTTTGCACACAGGAAAGTTCTGATTCTTTGTGATATTCATTTTTAACGATTTTTTTTTGTGGTTGCTTCGTTGTTCTTCTTTGGTAATTGTCCCGGTTTTTTCTTGCAGCACCATCTCCACCACTACATCTCTTCCACTGAGAATTTTGATGTTGTCGATTCTTTGGACTTCGTAATGTCTGATGAAATGGCTGATGCAAGAGCGGATCGTCTTAAAAAGATGATCACTGAGGGAGTGGATTGGAGTCACCATCTATGGGAGGTAGAAGAAGCAATACCTGTATGCAACTCTTGACAAAGATGAGAAAGCAACAGATGAAGAGAATGAGAATATAGCAGAAGAAAGCGAATTGAGGACACCAACTGCTGTAGGTAGCTTGATTGCGGGTTCGAGTCGAGGAAAGAAAAGGGTCGCTGATCCTGGTGCAGAGTCACACAAGCAGAAGTTGAAATGTGACCGATCAGCTACGAAAGCCATTGATGAGGACTTGAACTCATTTATTCAAGGATTTTTGCAGACCTCGTTCAAAGCTTTGGAGGAGAGACTTGATAGCAAGATTGATAGTCGTGTGGAGATGCTGGAGAAGAAAATGGAAAACCGAGTGGAGATGCTTGAGAAGAAGATTATGGAGTCCTCCAAACAACTGGATTTACAAGTGATACTCCTACCACATCAAAATCACCACATGGTAATTTTTTGCACATTTGCAAATTATGTCATTGATTTCTATGCAAAAACATTTTGAGTATTGTTCTCATACTCGCAAGTACAGTTGGTGTAATTCCTTTACCAACAAAACTATCGACTAGTGCTGCTTCCACATTTGCAGGTGTCAACGCTTTAGCTGCTAAGACGTTGACCAGTGCTGCTAAAAAAAACTTCTACTGCATCAACAATTGCTACTCCAAAGCCATAACGAGATCTGCATGTGCTATTCCAAGCAAGGGAGATTCCAATACCTGATGCACAAGAATCAGAAATAATGTCTTTGTTTAGGCTGTGATGTGGTTTGTTTAATATTTGTATAACGTTGTTGTTAAAATGTAATTTGTGTGTCTGGTAATATTGTTGTTAAAATGTAATATGTGTATCTAGATAATATGCTTGAAACATGTACTATTTTTTTTGTCTTGTACTTGTAATTTGGTTTTGTTAAAACGTGTCATGTTAAAATGTAATATGTTTGTCTCAAACATTTGTTGTTAAATCGTGATATTTAGTTTTTTTTTTTTTCGGATATAGTTTTTGATACAAGAACTATTTTATATATTATCATGAAGAAGAAAACACGGAACTCCATGATGCGTTTCTTAGTCAGGCTATGGATATCGACCTCAAAATGGATCCTAAAGACGCTTTAATCGCAGATGCACTTAACAAACTTTTCCAATCTTCAATTGTAGCTGATTATGATTCGACGCAGCTAGACGATGCATATTATCTATTGGTGCACGTGTCAGAAAGCGATTGAGAAAGTGTAAACGAGTGGACACTTTTTAATTATAGAAATATATTGAACTTGAACGTATTTTTTTATTTATCATTTTAAATTTTTGAAAATTATTTCATAGATTGGTCCCCTCTTGTATAAAATTGAAGTAGCAGATCGTCTCATAAAATAGACAAAAGTCGTTACTCACACAGGTAAATACATTAAAGAATAATTTTTTTCAAAATATTATTTAATGTTTGCCAGTGTTGTCAACTGTTAGAGGAGCCTCATACTTTGAGCTAAGTTTTTTATGCTCATAAAACCACTTGGTTAACATTTCTCTGATACTGTCCAGTATAGGAATAACTAGGTACTCTTTAGGATATCGCAATGTATTATTTATCGACTCAGCTGGGTTATTAGTTCTAACATCGTACCTAAATCCAGGGAATTTGCATCGAGCCCATTTCTCAACACCAGCGTCCTGAAGATACTTTTCAACAGCTGAGCTAATAGAACAAATGGAAGCAAACTTGGTAAAATCAGAAACTTTGTACTCTTTAGATACTTTCACGATCAAACCAGTCAAACCCTGTGTCTTGAAATATGTTACCACATTGTTCAGAAAATGGTGAATACATATTCCATGGCTAGATTTTGGGTACACTTTCTCAAGTGCTTTAATTGCAGAAATATTTTTATCGGACAGAAAAGCCAAACTCACCTCATCCGCAATGATAACTTTTAGCTGCACCATAAACCACTCCCATGACAGGTTGTTCTCCGAATTGACAACCCCAAATGTGATTGGATATAAGTTTGAGTTGCCATCTAATGTCGTAGAAACGAGCAAAACTCATTTGTATTCTTTTCAAAATTGTCCCATCCACAATGATTACCCCTACGAATAGCTTTGTAAAAATCCCGTACCGATTGACCAAAAGAGAGAAACAGAAACTTGAATCGTCCAGTGATGTCAGTTTCATACTACGTATGGGTCCCTGGATTTGCCTCTGTCATCATTTGCAAATATTTAGAAATTTTTGCATACCTTTTCCTGTGAATTCCTCTGACCACACTAATCGCATACTCACGGGCTTCCCAAGCATGGTCGTAAGAGATGTCACATCCATGCTCTGTACGAATAAACTGAATGATTTCTCTTGGTTTAAGACCTTCATTAGCACCCTCGAACTTATTATTAATCAGATTACCAATAGTTTTTGCTGAAGTTGTCCTGCCGACTGTGTCTTTATTAGAAGAGCGCATGTATGTTAAGCGACATACTTGTTAATTCTGAAATACTCTAACCCCTCAAGACACTGTGCATGAACACGCCAGTTGCATGACTTCTCTTTGCAGCGGATACACCACACTCGTTTGGTTGATTCCAGTACGTTGTAGTCGAAATTATGTTTCATCGCAGAAATTTCCAAAGAAGCCTTCAACTCTGTTTTGCTTCTAAAAATTTGATCATTCTTTAAAACATCAAGCAAGTTAAGCCGAATGTTCTGCTCACCGTAAACTTTTTGTCAACCATAACAGCTTCATCAAACTCTTACTCCACGTTATGGTCACTGCCTCTAACATCATCATCACCTGACTTCACAACCACTGCGTCATCGTAAAAACAATTCTTCCTATATTATTGTAAATGGAGTTAAAAAAAATTATTATTATCTTTTTAAGAAATACCTAGCAATAGAGCTTTAATTAATGTGGATGTTTGTGTTTCAGGAGCACTATGACGAAGAAAATTGTTATATTAAATTATTTTTTGATGAAATATTACTATAACTGTAGATTAGATAGGAGGTTCAATAGTTTTTAATAGTATAAATCAAAATTATTACAGCAAATAACATGAACATGATATTATGATATTGTTTAAGGTAAAAAAGAATGGATGATTGTACTATTTTTGTTTCAGGAGCGCTATAATAATTTAGAGATTATTATAATTCTGGATTAAAATACAAAAACAAAATATATTTTTTGGTGGTGCATTTTTTATGAAGAACACTCACATGACAATATGAAAATGTTAAAGGTTGTAATGATTGAAATGTTTTGTGTTTTAAAAAAAGAAATTTTATAATTGGTGGAAAAAATCAAAAAAATAAACAATTATAATTTATAAGAAAAAACTATATTTCAATTTACCATAAAAATTTTAAACAAGATTACAAATAAAGAATTATTTTTTTTTCTGCTAATCTTGGTAGTTCATAACCTACTTGTAATTATTTTTTATTTGATGCTACTCATATTGGGTTAATGCATAAAATAGTTATTACTATATTAGTGTAATCATGTAGAATAATCTAACTTTAATTATTGTTGTCTCATTATTTTGTGTTTTAATAATATTATGATTGTTGATAATTTTATTTCTAAATTTATGTAATAAATATTTTACGAGATAATTCATATTGTTTTCTATTTTATTTTTCATAGGTTTTATGATATTAAATAATAAACCGGTATATATGCAATTAGATCAGATTTTGACATGTGTTTAATAAAGTTTTAATTAGATTTTAACACATATTTCAGAAATCTCCAATTATATTTTAACACATAATATGAACAAAATAATTATAATAGTTTCCTAGTCCTAGGAAGTTAAAAAATAGTAGATATATTTAAATTAAAAAAATTTAGATAAAAAGCAAAGTTTTTTTTTAAATGAAAAAGTTTCCTAATCCTAAAAGTTCAAAAAAAAAAAATAATAGTTATGTTTAGATTAAGAAAAATTAAAAAAAAAAACAATTAGATAAAAAGCAATTAAATGTCCTCCAAAGATAAGACATTTTATTTGGCTAGCAATATCTGGATATCTCTTGGTCTCGACTAGGTTACGCACCCGTGGAATACAATGTGATACACAATGTGCACGGGTGGAGCAGAGGAAGAAACAATTAATCATGTTCTATTTGAGTGTCCCCATGCTTTACAAACTTGGGCTTTATCCAGATCCCAACACTCTCAAGAGTTTTTCCAATGACATCGGTTTATGCAAATTTTGATAATCTTTTTTGGAGATTACCGAAAGGGTCGAGGAATACATAATTTCCATGGATTGCATGTTATATTTGGAAGGCAATGAATGAGAAGGTATACTCAAACATTAATATAGATCTACAAATTACTTTGAAAATAGCAGAAACCGAAACGACTTTATGGGAGGAGGCTCAAAGGTCTGAACATATTGTAAATCCCACAAATACTGTCAATTCAATATTGGCGACTTACAAAGTCTGGTGGTGTTACATTGATGGTTCATAGAAAGATACAGATTTAATAACAGGTTTAGGTTGGTACTATTTTTAAAAAGGTACTATGGACAAAATAATATGAACACAGAATATGGGCTATGCATTGCATGTTACAAAACTAGAAGATTACGGTAGCTTTTGCAACGGACTGTTTAGAGTTGGTAAAGATGGTGTCTACACCAGAAGAATGGCCAGCATTTGCTCTACATTTGGAGGAGATCGTGAAGATGAAGAACAGATTCAATTTTTTCTCTCTATCACATATTCCACGTGCAAAGAACTCGAAGGCAGACAACCTAGCAAGAAGTGTTCGTATCTAGCTTCAAGAAGTTATTTACGTAAATTTGGTACCATCGGCTTGGTTAACCGAACTGTTTTGAGTACTTAGACTGTTCACAAAAAAAAAACTGTTTTTAGAAAACATAAAATCTATAATTCAGATTAGAATAAGAAAATTAAATGATAGATAACAATTCTTAAAAGAAAACAAATAAATTTAAAAAATATATATTTTATAACAAAAAATCATATTCAGTTTTCAATAACGAATATTTTCATTGTAAAAAGTATAAATGATGTATGATGAAACTGAATATAATTATTCAAAAATCTTTGAAAAAAAAACATATATAATCATCAAAAAGCTTAATCATGGGTGATCTAAATTTTTTTTTTATTTCTATTTTTTATTTTTATGTCATTGAAAAAGCTTAATCATGGGTGATGTAATTTTTTTTTTTTTTTTCTATTTTTATTCGAAAATTTTTAATCACAGGTGATCTAATTTTTTTCGTTTCTATGTTTTTATTTTTACGGATTAAAAACAAGAGTAGTTATGTTTAGGATAAGGAAATTTAAAAAAAAAATAGTTAAAAATGATTTTTTTTAAAAAGGACTGTTTTTATAAAATAAAAAATCTATAATTCAGATTAGAATAAAATAAAATAAACAATAGATAATGTTTAGGGGATTTTCAATCATTCAGGAGGGCAAGGCTCCTGCCAAACCAAAAAACACGTGAAGGCCCAAAAAACACGAAGAAATGGTGTTTTTCGATGGCTCTCCGACGTTCAAGTTAGAAAACAGTGAAAGAAAGATCACGAAGTGGTAAATCGGAGAGAGGAAAAAGATCGGAAAACGAAGGAAAGAGATTGGGCCGAGAGCTCCTAAAAAAGGTGGAATCTGCTCGGGCCTTAGTCTGGTGGGCTTTTTTAGGTGGAAAAGAGAAGAAATGTAAGAGTTTGGAAGTGGAGATGCTCCATGTTTTAGAAACCACCGTGGAGTAGAAATGATGGAATGGTTAGAATATTGACCGGAGAGATGAGAGTGATGTTGCTTAAAGTTCACTAGTATCTAGAGAGATAGCATGAGTCTTAAGATTGCGAAAAGATTGAACCCCTTTCTCGTTGGAAACTGTGAAGTATTTATAAAATTTGACCTGACCCAGAGTAGTATATCGGGTCGGTCCTCAGATCGTGGATCATGCAGGTCGGTCTGTGATCCGGCTTGGTTGGGTCTGAATCTTATGCTTATGCTTCTGGCAGATTCACAAACTTTCTTTGGCGTGTTCCGCCTCTAGCGAGACCGTTCTTTGGCACGTCTTCTTTACCCTTAGCGTACGGATTGGGTTCAGCGGTTCAGACGCGGTATGATCTTTGCTGATCATCTGCTTCTGCGAATGGTCATTGTCACCTGACACGTGTAAGCATAGTGCATTAAATGTCAGTCTTATGGTTTTGTAAAGAGCACGGGCATTCCAATCAGTCCAAAGTATATCCCAATTTTCGAATTGAGAAAAATCTGAACAGCGTGTTCACACTAATGGGATCATACATACCTGGTACGTGTCCCTCGATGCTGGGACTGGATTGTCGGGGTTGTCCTACCGGTTGAATTTTTCTCCGGGTACATGTGCATGTTACATTTCCTTATATCCCAACCCTTCCAGATCACTGATCTTAGGTGTAGGACATAGAGAAAGTAACATATCCTCCTCCTCACCACTCAGTTCTCGACCTCCTTG